CATAGTGTTGTTTACAGTACAGTTGTGTATATTCTTCACTGTGTCTCGTTTCATAGTTGTGTTGATAGTATGTGAAGTTTGTCATGTGACACAGTTTCCTGGCTCGTTCTCGCTTCGTTCAGTTGAGGTCACACGTAATTTTCTGTCCTCGCTCGTCGTCACGTCTCTGATGTTATCCAGTCAGGATTTGTGTTGCCTGGCAACCACACGGCAGCAAGAGGCGTCTGGAGTTTACTGCTGCGTTTCCATCTCATCAGCAGGTTGAACTCAGACCTGCAGGAGTCAGAGCCACAGATCAGTGTGAACACATGAACACTGACGACCATGAGGCTTCTCTTCTGAGTCTGAGTCAGGGCTGGTTCATTGAGGATTCATGTCATGGCCTCTGACTGTAACATGTCGTGACGTCGCTCTGCATCACACTGAGAGAGGAGCTGACGCTGAGGAGGAAATATAGGACAACAGGAGGAGGAAGAGGAGGAGGAGGTCTGTGAAACCACAGAGGAAACTGCAGCAGCTCAGCTTCAGGTATTTATTATATTATTTATTATTATTATTATTGTGTGTGTGTGTGTGAGTGTGTGAGAGATGAAGGTCGTACGCTCACACATACCAGCAGCTTTAAAGGGACAGTCCCACATATTGGAATTAGCTTGTTAGCCACGTTAGCACTTTGCCATGGGGATGGAAACACTGCGGAGTCCTTCACACTCAAACATCTCAACGTCTGCTGTTTGGTCTCCAGAGGATGAACCTGCCCTTTACATCAGATGCCACCGTGAGGTTGACAGTGGTAATACAGGTCTCTACCATTGGTGGATGGATTGTTGATGATCATCATCGTGTAGTTTAGTGGGTTAGCATGTTAACATTAGCTAAGTAGCAGTAAACACAAAGCTGAGGATGACGGGAATGTATATGGACGATAAGTCTCCACTTCCTCCTGTCATAGTAAAATAAGTCAAAATATCTCCGATTCAAACGCTGCCATCTGGTGGTGATGCAGCAGCGAGTGGAGTCCTGCTCTCGACCAATCAGGAGTCAGTCTCAGCTGTCAGTCATCACGTCTCAGCCTGTTTTCATACCCTCAAACAACTCATTCAAACCAAACTGGATGTATTTAAAAGTTTTGGATAAATGGGAACTTTGACCTGACGGTGGCGCTGGTCAGAGGGTCAGAGGTCATAGTACATCCTGAGGGGAACATGAACATCTGTTCTCTAGTTTTCATTCAGAGCTGAAGTGTTTCTGAACGTCTCTTGAATTTATTTCATTAAATATCTGTTGAATTTACGTTTCAACTCCTGTTCCTGTTCTCTTTCAAAGTAAAAGCAGCTCATCTGTCATGAGGTTCTGAGCAGTTTTCTGTTTAAATTTAATGTTGATGAAGAAAAGATGAAAAATGCAAAGTTCATTGAATATTCAGCTGACATCATCTTCGGGGTGTGTGAGTGTGTGTTCATATTTACTCAGTTGTGTTTTAACATGTGATTATAACGTGTTTTGTTCTTCCAGGTCCGTGTTGTTCAGTGTCATCAGCTTCTGTCGCTTCTCTCTGACACCTCCCCCCTCCTCCCCCAGCCACGTCTCTCACCTCCAGGACGATGGAGGAGCTGCAGCATCTCGCTCTGCTCAGAGCGTGAGGAGGCTTCCTGTTCTCCATCTGCCTCACCCTCCTCCTCACCCCTCCCGTGTGGATCTCTGATCCCCTCCCCCTCTGTCTCTCTGCAGCAGCTGAAAACATGGACGGGTTCCGGCTGCCGCCCGTCATAGAGGAGGTCCTCGATGCGTCTGGTCAGTGTTTTCTGTTTCTTACATGTAAATGAGTCAAACAGCTGATTGGATAAACAAAGAGTGATGGAGGGAAAAAGACTGATATGAGATCAATGATCCAAAGTTAGATTCATCCATCATCACTTTAACTAAAACTCTTATTTTGATTTATTGTAACTGCACTGTAGACACTTCCTGTTTCACAATAAAAGCTTCTCAGGGACGTTAATGCACTGAAGAGAAGTGTGTGCTTTATAGATCGACTGTATAACGGTGATCATTGACAACCACCAGGTGGAGATCCAGATGTTCTGGCAGCTGTCATGTCCTTTATTTACAGTTTCTCTTTCTCCATCACCACCAGCAGGTGGAGCCACAGTGTAAACAGGAATCACCTGTTCTGTACCATGTGACCTGTGTCAGGTGATGAAGTGGATTCTGGTTCAATGATGTGTGATTTCAAATCATTTCTTTTCTGTGCAGATGAAGTGAGTGATCTGAAGGACAAAGAGAGGGAGGAGAAGGAGACACTGACAGATGGAGAGAAAGGACAGACGGAGGAAGAGAAGGAGGTAAAGGAGAAGAAGCATGAAGAGCAGGGAGGAGTGAGGGATGAAGAAGAGGAGGTGGAGGAGCTGAGAGCTCAGGTTCTGCAGCTGCTGCTGGAGCTCGAGGAGGCGAGAGAAGTTTCTCAGAGACACGAGGACAGTTTCATGGAGCTGCAGGGTCGGTGTCTCCTTTAACGTGTTCTTAACGTGTTACTGTGTTTGAGTCACATGTGAAGAGATGTGTTGTTACTCCATCTCTTGTCGAGTTAAGAACAGAGGATGTTGCTCCTCGTTGACATCGATGAGACAAATCAAATGTGATGGATCAGTGAATCTAAACATGGAACTCTTCTTCTCTTTCAGGCGTGTTGGATGAAGAGCGCCTGGCGAGCGCTCACCAGGCCGAGAGTTTCACCAGACAGATCCAGAGACTGCAGGGTACTCCGTCACTCCACTGACCACACAGACTCATCACAGACTGCAAAACTTAGTCTTCTCTTGTTGTCCTCCTCCTTCTCTCTATCCTCCTTCTCTCTATCCTCCTGTCCTCCTTCTCTCCTCCTCTTCCTCTCTTCCTCCCTCCTTCTCTCCTCCCTCCTCTCTCTTTTCATCTCTTCTTCCTCCTCTTGTCCTCTGCCTCTCTCTCTCTCTACTCCTCTCTCCTTCTCTCCTCCTTTTCCTCTCTCCTCCTTCTCTCCTCTCTCTACTCCTCCCTCCCTCTCTCTTTTCCTCTCTTCTCTCTCTCCTCTCTTTCTCTCCTCCTCCCTCCCTCTCTCCTCTCTTTTTTCATCTCTTCTACCTCCTCTCCTCTTCTTCCTTTCTCCTGCCTCTCTCTCTCTACTCATCCCTCCCTCTCTCCTCCTCTCCCCTGCCTCTCTCTCTCTCCTCCATCCTTCTCTCCTTTCTCTTCTCCTCCCGCCCTCTCTCTTTTCCTCTCTCCTCCTCAGCTCAGTTGCGATCGGTGCAGGAGGAGATGGACAGTCTGGAGGAGGAGAAGGAGAGCGAGCTGGAGGAGGCGCAGGAGGAGTTGCGCTCGGCTCATGAGGAGGTGGTGTTGCTGCAGCAAGCAGCCGAGGAGGCGGCAGCGGAGAGAGAGAACGACATTGCCTCCCTGCAGGAGGAGCTGTGTCGACTGAAGGTGGAGCAGCAGCGTCTCCACGCCACGGCGCAGGAATATGAGATGGAGATCACCACACTGAGGGCGGAGATCAGCATGAAGAGCCGCCACACGGGGGCGCCATCGCACGGTGAGGAGCTGAGTTCAGAGGTCGAGCTGGTCACATGATCTGACCTTCAGCCAGTTTAACACTCTGAAAACATGCTTAGCTTAGCTTAGCATAAAGACTGGAAACAAAGGGAAACAGTTAGCCTCCCTCTCAGTTCTCGTCTCCACATGAAAAATGATGAAACCTGTTTTCAGATAAATCTTCAGTTCAGTCGTATCGTGGTTCTAGTTTCCTCTGCAGCCTCCGGGGGGCGCCAGCAGTGTTCAGGGGACGTGAAGCAGCTGAAGGACGAACTCGTCCACCTGAAGGACGAGTGTCAGACTCTGAGCGACCACAACAAACTGCTGAGCAGCAAAGTGGAGACGCTGAAGCAGCGACAAGACACGTGAGTGGTCCGAGCAGCTGTCAATCAAACTGCTGCTGTTCACGACTAATGTTCAGGGTCAGCCGACACGTAAACATGATCACTGAGTCACTTCCTGTGAGCAGACGAGCCAATCACTGAGCAGGAACCTGTTGTTCTGGTGAACAGGTGTGATGACGCGTACCTGGAAGTCCGAGTGGAGGACGAGCAGGTGAAGACGGACTCTTACATCACTCTGTCCCACGACCTGGAGGTCGAGAGGTCAGAGGTCGACGTCCTGAAGGTTCAGCTCAGAGACGCTGAGGAGACGACGCAGAGGATTCAAAAAGAGGTAACGACACCACAGTTAACGACACCACGGCTAACGACACCACGG